GAGGCTGAAACAAACAGTCTGAATCATTAAGTGCTGAACCATTCAGACATCTGAGTCATTCAGAGGTTGAAACAAACAGCCGGATATATAGGCTAAATATAACTATTCTTTCTTTTTCAATTAATTGTGACCAATTGGATATATAGGATATGGAGACTTAGAAAAAAAGTAAAATATTGTTATTTAGATTGTTGGAAAGAGAGGAAAATTGTAGATTTGTAGTCAACATGATGTTTGTTATAACGGCACAGTTCCATGGCCACTGGAGACGAAAGCCACTGCCCCCCTACGAAACTCCGTTCATAAAATTGATGATTCCTACCCCCCTAATCCCCCCAGTAAACCCCCCGCCAAGTCCCGGCCCAAACTTATCACCCCACCTACGTCAATTGCACCTCGTAAGCATAATTGACTTTAAAGTCAAAAGTTTTGACTTTATGCTTACGAGGTGCAATTGACGTAGGTGGAGTGATGAGTTTGGGTCGGGACTTGGCGGGGGGGTTAGGGGGTAGGAATCATCAATTTTATGAACGGAGTTCCGTAGGGGGGCAGTGGCTTCCGTGGCCATGGAACCGGGCCGTTGTTATAAATAAGAACATCCATAATACTAGGTATATTACAATGGTTTTAAAAAATAATAACAAATTGGGATAATGGAAGTGAATTTTGGGGTTTTGGTGATGTAGATGAGAAATCATCTAATATGTGAATTTTGGGGTTTTGGCTGATATATTTGAGTCATTGACTTAAGGACAGAAAGAATGATAAAATCATGGTAATTTTAGAGTCACATACAAAAATGACAAACATCACAAGGTTGCTAGCTATAAACTTTTTTTGATAATAAAATATTTTCAAATAATTTAAAAGTTAATTTAAATTCATAAAAGACAAGTTTGTAAAATGTATTCTGTTTTTTTTTCTGATTTTATCATTTCTCATAAGATAAATCTAGGCTCGGGTTCAAGTCCAAGTGGAAGCTGAAGCATTGGCTCATTGGGTTTCATTATACTGAAAATAATATGAACAAATATTAAATTTTAATCAAGTTAATTGTGCTAAAAGAAAAGGTCTCTTGTCCCATTATGTTTAATTTATATGTTTAATTTATAATCAAATAGTATCACTATTTGACCAAAAACATTAAAACATGAAAGATTTTACAAAACAGAGATAGTAATATACTCCGCATTGTGTAAATTATACTTTACGATTTTAGAACACTAGTACTTTTACCTGTTCCACGCACGGGGTCAAACGAAATTTTAGTAATTTAAAAACTTTATTTATACAATATTTTTTTAGGGATAAAGAACATATATTTGTCAATAGAGGGCTAAATATGGAAAACATATTGTTATAAAAGACTATTTCTGGAATTTACTCCAAAATTTTTAGTATTATTGCAAGGGTTTCCATTTTTATGTAGAACCAATGTTTTTAATCTTCTCTTTGTCTTCACTCATGAAACAACAACATAAATCTTGCGATGAGTGAACAACGACTTTGCTAAAAATAGTCCAACTAATGAAAATTTTTTACCTTGAAATTTGTTGATAGTTATTGTAAAATATAAGACTGTTGAATTGCCCTCTCTGGAACTTCATGGATAGTCTTGTATCAGATGGTACTGAATTCATCCGAAGTATGTAAGCTTTATCCCCAACTCGATTTTCCAAAAACCAGAATAACACGGATAACATTCTTTCGCAGCTCTTCAACGATTATTCTTGTACCATAACACAATAGATGTTTGATCAATGTTTCTCAATAACATAATTGCTACCCTGTTTTAAAACTGCTTTATGGTTTGGGATTCCCAAACATTTGATTTAATTCAAAAATTCAATTGTTATCTAATCGCCATTTTAACTTTTTAATTGATTGTTTCATAAGAATTTATTTTGGAATGTATAATTTTTTTTATTTTACAACGCACCTTTAAAAATATCCGATGGGACTGGGGTCAGGGCTGATTTTTCACTCACGTTTTTCAAACCCGTACGGCCTATTTTGTCTCACAAAATAGTCAGCCTTAACTTTTCTCAGGGACAGAATATATTCAAGAACACAACGAAGACAAATTTACGGTAAACAACCAACCTTGTATTAGACTCGTATAATACAAAGGAACAGCCAAAACACTTTGTTTTTAGCCCTTGGTTGTTTACCGTAAATTTGTGTTCGTTGTGTTCTTGAATATATTTTGTCCCTAAGAAAAGTTAAGGCTGACTATTTTGTGAGACAAAATAGGCCGTACGGGTTTGAAAAACGTGAGTGAAAAATCAGCCCCGTAACAGTGTCCCAAACCCCAAACTAAGATCCCCTCAGTCGTTTTAATTTCCGAATCCGTCACTGCCTAACACTCGCCCCACCCTTTCGGTGGAGCGGAAAGGATCTCTCCGCTCCTCATTGTAAATGTTTTGTAACTTTCTCCCCAACATGGCAATTTTTTAAAGAACTCCGAATCATCTTATTAAAAAGCTCTCATGGTCGGGGATCAGAATAAAGCATGGGGTTAGTTGTATGCCACATCGCATTCAGAGCCCAATCATTTCATTTTAATAATTCACGGCCAGAATCACCTAATTGCCAAGTCCAATTGCGCGGAGGAAGAGCAGTGGAAATCCTTGAGTAAATTCAAACCAATGTTTTGCTGCGAAACAAGTGATACTAATCTTATTTATTTTATCAAATAACTCAAAATTTGTATAAAATAATAGAGTTAGTTTGACTTGGAAAAAGTACTATGTAGTAATACAATGGATTGAACAAATGGGGATATTGGAAGTGATTTTCATGGTTTTGATAATGGTTATCTTCGAGTCACAAACAAAAAAGACAAATATCATAAATTTGCTTTTTTTTTTCATTTTTTAAAAAGAATCAAATAGTCTCGAATAAATAAAAAGTGAACATAAGTTTACAAAAGACAAGTTTGTATAATTTACTTCGTTTTTTTTGTGACTATCATTTCTCATAAAATAAATATAGGTTCAGGTAGATCCTATCCAGATATTCCCCAGTGTCATCCCTAATTTCAACCTTTGAAACATGAAAGTCTAGTTGAGCCCAACTTAAGTTGAACATATATAACCTTTGCACCTTGAAGGTTGACCAGACTAATGTGATTCTCCCCCTGGCCTTAAACTCATATGTTTGTGATGAAGGTTTCAAAATTTGCAACTACAAAGCATAAAACTTAAAGTCCAAAGATACATAGTAGCTAATAAAACATTAGTTGCATTCAAAAATCACATCTCCAAAAAGAGTTGATCCAGCAACAATGGAACAATCAATCAAGGAATCGATTCGATAATACTAATCATCACATCGATATCCGACATCTTCATCAAACCCGTCTCTCACTTCCCTCTCTTCATCAAACACATCTCTCACTTTCTTCTTCTTCTTCTCTTCAGTACCTCTCTCTCCATCAAACACGTCTCTCGCTTTCTTCTTGACTTCAGTGCTTCTCTCTTCATAGTCAACTCCCCCACTGCCCCTAAAGAGTTTCCGAAAACTTGTGGGGGCGCTGTACAACGTCCGAGTTCTCATAATCAGGGGTTCTAACCAGCGCGGATTAACTCTTCTTCTCTTAGTCCATATCTTCTTCCAATCTGATTCCCAGGCCTCCTCAAGCCGCTGTAACCGAAAGCTCTTTTTGCCTCCCAATAGGCACCTGATTATATCCTTAGTGTAGCGATTTATTTCTGGGCCGTCAAGGATATATATGTACTGTATCAAGGGGAACACAATGGGGAAAGAAATGAGTGAAGTGCAAAGGGATGAAAAATTGAAACATGACAAGTCAATACTCTTTCATAATGGCAAAACCTTGACATGCATGAATGATCATGTTACATGATTTGGATTCGGTTGATGACTTGGGCTTTTCATTTGATTGCAAGCAAGCAAATGAACTTTGTGTTACATAAAGCAGCCTATCTATGTTTTAGTCTCCAACAATAGATAAATGATCTTTTTAAAAATCTTCAGCATATTTTGATCCAGAAAGAAAATTTTCTTGAGATGCAATTCATGTTTTGACATGAGTGTGTGTGTGTGTGTGTGTGTGTGTGTGTTTGTGTGTGTGTGTCGGAATAAGGGAGTTTTACAACTAGTTCATGCTTCATTTCTTTAAAGGAAGTGCAATATATAGAAAAAACCAAGTAAATAAATGATATCATGCAGCACCCGCTCTTAGCAATATATAGACAACATCAAGAAAACTAGCATGCAGACACCAAAAAAGCAAAGATAAAAAAGGAGAATCTTTTACCAAAAATACGAAGCCTAAAGTAGCCAAGACAACTTGCATTGCTTCATCTAATGCCTCAGAGATGTCTTCACCATCAGGTCCACCGGAACCATCTTTACCAAATTTACCCCCACCACCTCCTCCACCAAAGCCACCTTTACCAGTACCACTACCTCCACCATCATAAAACTCTTGGCTCTTAATCTGCTGTCTTAGCACATCCTCAATCGACTGCCCCTTGTTGACACTTCCCATTAAATTCTCCACCGTGTCCCCTGGAGCTGCCTGATAGACAAGGTGAAATACACTGAGCTTCACATTTCTTAAAGAAGGCATTTGGTCTATGTAAGCTGCTAATACCTCCCCACAAGAAAGTGAGGTAATGATGAGGTGATCTTACTATCCCAGGTTTCATATGTATTGTAAGATTACTTTGGTAACTTTTTAGACTATTCCAACTTTGTCCTAACATAAAC